CTTGTTTACTTTCAAGCCTTTAAGTCCCCAGACACTATAGGTCTCGATAGCCAGGCACCATCAGCCTTCTTCACCACACTTACTTATGCACACATTCGTCTTCAGCGTTTATATGGGGAAGGTGGTCACATAATGATGGTTTTTGTTCTTTGGTGTCTGCTACCTGATCCCTTCAACACCTCGTGTTCACACAGGCTTGTGTGCTTCTTCTCTGTGAACTTTGTTGTTTCCGAACTAGATGGCTGCTTGTTTGCCTACAAGCCTTTAAGACCCCAGACTCTATATATTTTGATAGCCGGGCACCATCAGCTTTCTTCACCACATTTGCTGGACATTGGACCTCCTCATGCGCATTCCCTTAATACAAGAGCACCTTGCTCAGCTAAATGGTCATTTCATGATACCTACCTTCCCGACATGATCGCTGAAGACAGACGTGTGTTTAATAATTTTTAAAATAATTTTGTAGCATACTTTTTTTACTTACCCTTTTATATCTGAAAAAAATAACTTGTATATGAACTTTTTATACACTAGATACAAGTCTTTTGTCAGATACATGTTTTGACAATGTTTTTATGGCAAATAATTATTATATACATTTATCTACCACAATAATAAAAAGGAACTCCTACGTCTAATTAATAAAATAACGTCTAATTAATAAAATATTTACAACCATTTTTCTTAAATGAGTAAGAGACTTTACAAAAGAAAGTATTAGGCTTATAATAAATGCATAAGAGTATTTTCAACATTCAGGGAATGAAAATTAAAGCTGCAATGAAAGACTGTTTCACACCCAGTAGAATGACTGAAGTTACCATGAACAGTAAGACCAAATGTTGCCAGGGCTGTGGGTCAAGTGGAAATATCCTACACTGCTGGTGAAACTACAAAATTATCTTTTGCATTTTCTTAAAACATTACCGTGTATTTTATCAATTTTACCATTCGGTTTTTAATCAGAACAGACTCACTGGCTCCTAACAACAATTTCTCTATTGTTTTATTTCTGCCAAGCTAGCAATAGTAATGATTTATTTATATGTATTTCTTCAAATACTCACACAATCTCATGGTTTCATTATGAGGAGAACATTGCACTTAAATAACTGGGAGCTCCCTTCCTGCCAAGGAGAGCCATTTAATTTCTCTTTGAATTAGTGATCTAAAGGATAGAAACCCATCCATTTTCTACAACCCCAAAACATAGAACAACTACAGTCATAGCTACTTTATGGTATTTGAGTTTGAATATTCAGACCACATCAAAGTCAAAATTTTACTGATAGATGCTGAATAAATAGCTAGCCTTCTTTGTAATCTGTTCTTAGTCTGGAAGCCCCACTGAATCTTGTTCACTCTGGGTGGCCCTGCTGGCACTTGAAACACCAGTGACATAGCTTCCAGCATCCCAGTAGCTCACAAGCCACCACCATATGACAAACTGTGGATGGCAGATGTAGGTAGTTAGGTTAAAATGCAATATCTTCATGTTCGATATCCCTTTTGACCCATTTTAAAGTTTTTAATATTTTATACATTCTTTTTGAATGATATTTTTCTATGTTTTATCAAATCATTGAGGTGTTTTTGCTTGCTTCCTGTTTGTATTTCTTAGGATTTCATATGTGGGAAGCTCAGGATAGGTAACTCTATCTAGAGTCAGTAATTGGGTTGGTAATCACCTAGGCCTATGGCAGGGGAGGATGAAGGAGAAATGGGGAACTGAAGAAAGTGAGTGCAAAAAGAAAGTGTTCTGAAATTGATTGTGGTGATGATGGCACAACTCTTCCTAATATAATTGAATGATTAAATAGTAAGATATGTAAAGTATATCACAATAAAATATATTTTAAAAGAGAACCAAACTAGGTTACAAATTCTCATATTATCAATTAACAAATTTTTTTCTAAGAACATGAATATAAAGTATAATAAGAATATAAGTGATGATTATTGTTTTTAGTTTCCATGAAGTCAGTCCAAGTACTGACAATCTTATGTGTAACAGAATGAAATGCAGCCTAGTTCTTGTCATCTTCATGAGTATATTTCATTGCATATATCCAAGAGGTATATTTTTAGATGTATAGTCTCCTGAATATACCCAATTTATTTTAAGAAATCATCTTTTGAGTATAGTTGCATTATTTATCATGAAAACCTTAGTTTATGCTCATTGATTTTTAATCCTTTTAAAGTAACTTTCTGTTTTGCCAACATATTAATGTTTAGGCTTTGTTCACCAAATTGTATGAATTATCTGAATTTGTAGAATAAAAAGTTAAAATGATATATAAAGCCTGTCACAATTTATGTGACATGTTTTCATAGCAGTTTTTGGAAGATGTAGATTTGTCTCTGTCTCAGGTCCCCTGCTGCTGAAGCAGAACTGTTTCAGTATAATTGGTTTCCTTTGTAATCTTACATGTTTTATTTTATGCATTTAAAACATTATTCTGAAAATGAGTCCACAGTCTTCACCATCCTGACAAAAGTCATCATAAAGAAATATAAATGATTTAATATGAGCTGAAAGGGGACCTGGGGCAGTGAGGAAAACCTATATTGGGGGAGGGTGGGGGAGGTAAGCTTGCCCTCCACAATACCCTGAGACTCAATAAAAAGAAAAGCTGAGGCTTCCAGAGAAAAGGAGACAGGTCAGGAACAGGATCTTAAAGCTCCAGAAATCCAAAAATCATGGCTCCGTATGGCTCCTTTAGGTTTCAAATTGACATTTGGTAAATCTTTGTTGCAATAACCTTAATAAATTGTGTTTTGACAAATTCCGAATTCTTTGGAATGACCTAGAAACCACTTTACTGATTTGCTACATCACTCTCTAAAATAGATGTAATGATGAATGGATAAGTTCCCCAGCCCTTATGCTCTAGTAACAACTTAAGGGTGACTGGTCTACTCCACTGAGTTACCACTGCACATCCACTAGGTTTGCTCTGATCAAAAAGAGGAACTCTGATGTATTGCTGGTGGGAATGTAAAATGATACAGACATTTTGTAAAACAATCCGATCATTCCTCAAATGATTAAACTATTATCATATGACCCAGTAATTTCACTCCTAAGTATATTTAAAAGGGAAATTAAAACGTTCACACAAAAGCTTGTACACAAATGATCATCTTAGCATTCTTCCTAATAATTCCAAAGTGGAAGCAACCCAAGTGTCCATCATTGATGAACTAGATAAATAAAATGTGATAAATCCATACAGTAATAACGCGGTACCTATGCATACTAAACACGGAAGATGCACCAGCCCGTGTGATCATGAGATGTCGACTGGGATAGGTATCAGAACTTCATAAACGAGCAATCAAATTGACTTGAAGGAGCGTGGACGAAGTAGAGAACCCAAACCCACCTGTAAGGTAATTGGACAGTGCTTCACAGAAGGGCCACACCGAAGGGAGGATAAATCTGGGGAGCGGTATAGCACGGATGAAACACATAACTATCCTCTAGTTAATATTTCCTCCCCTTACTATTATAATCTTTGTTTTCCCTCATTAATCTTGTTAGACCTGTGCATGTTCATTTTATAATTAAGAGTGCTTGAAGCATGAAAGCCAAGATTGATAACCCTTCAGAAATAGTAACAAGAGTAATGATTCCCTGAGGGTACGGGAAGAAAGCAGGGAGGGGGAAAAGGGGAGCTGATAGCAATGAAGACTCTGTAGTCCCACTCGAGGGGAATGAATAACAGAATTGCAGGTGAACGGATACATTGGATGGTGTAAGATAGGGCAAATAATAATATATAATATATAATAATAAGGGGAAGGGAAGGGATAAAGGGGATCTGATATGAGTTCAAGAAGAAAGAAAATGCATTTAAGTAGATGGTGATAGCATTTGTACAATTATGCTTGATCTATTGAAATATGGATTGTTATAATATCTATAAGAACTCCCAATAAAATGATTAATTAAAAGAAAAAATCCCTCCCCCCAAAAAAAGAAAAAATCCCCTGGAGTTAGAGAAGCCTTTCACAAAAGATCATCTATTGTATGATTCCCTTTATATGAAATGTTCAGAATAGGAAAATGTATATATATAGAAAACATATTTAGGGTTGTGAGGAGGGCAGGAATGAGAAGTAGCTACTAATGGCTACTGGGTTTCTTTCTGGGGTGATGAAATCTGTTATAAAACTGGGGATTGCAAAACTCTGAGGAAAAAAGCTATTGCATTGTACACTTGAGAGTGAATTTTGTGAAATGTGAATTATAGCTCCATAAAAAGAGTTCTTTGTATAATATCAGGGTATTTTGCCTTTTTCACTCTCTTGTCATCTGACACCCAAATCCTTGTTCTTTCCACTTTGCTTCACTGTCTTCCAGCATCATCTGACTTAGCATAAATGTGGCTCTACTTTATGGCAGGGAAATGGAGATGAGTGCCTCAAATCCCTTAGGCCTATGGGTCAGTATTTCAGTAAAGCACTGTGTACAGGAAATGACACCACGACTCTTTACTTGAACTACTCTGAGAAGTAGCAGGCACTCTCTCATGGATGCTTCATTTGATTTCAAGTCCCAGATACCACCGCCTGGTAGCTGTGAAACCTTGGACACTTTGATCTTCAGTTTCTTCACATAAAAATGGGAATAATAATACACACACCATAATGGGTTTGAGCATTTAATTATATATAAAAAGCTCTTAGCATAGTATCTAACATATAATAAGTGTCGAATAAATAGTTATTATGTAATTACTATTTATTTTTATTATTATTTATAGTAAATAATTTATAATCATATGTTTCCCTCTTCCGAGTAGTCACAATATCCCAGATGGTTGTTTGCAATCTTTCCTTCACAAGCCTCGCTTATTTGTATTCTTTTTTTAATAGGTACAGCATAAGAGATACGATGCAATTCTGAAGCGTTTACACTGTCAGGTCAACAAGCTTCAGTCAAATAGAAGGCAATGGCAGTGGAGCATCCAACAGCTGGAAAACACTGCAGCCGAACTAAGAAAGCGCATTGGAATGCAAGAATAACAGTTCCATGGGCAGTGTGGCACACAGATCGCACTGCACCAAGTATGGGGCAGAGGGGTTGAGAAAATCTTTTAGATTCTTAACCACCAGTATCCACCATCAGAGGTCTGTCTTAATGACAAATACATTTTCTCTCTTTTTTTGAACCATCCAGCCATTTATTACAGTGCATTCCAAACCCGCAATTGATAGTAGCATATAAATCACAGGAAGGTTTACCGGAAAATAGTAGAAGGCTCTATGAATGTTCTCCGTGTCTAAGATATATCATACTTAGAATGCCTATTTATTACCAGGGTGCCTTCACCACCATACTAAGTAAAAATGTGTGGAGAAAAGAGAAACTTGGATTTCCATTGATTAAAATTGTGAAGATATAAAAAAAATGGCTGTCTATTTCAAACATTTTATGAGATCTTGTTCTTTTACAACCATCTTCACAGCAGCCCATAAATATTGACATTTATAATAATGTTGTTATATGGTCAATGCTTCAGATATATTACTCAGCTTTCTTTTTCACCCAGAAGGTAATCATTTTTTCTTTGTTATTAGATAATATATTTCTAGAGTTTTGCAGTACATTAATTTTTTGTTCTCATTTTTGTCTGTAAATTTATTATACCTACTTGTCACCAAATTAAATCACAGCGTTGTATAAAGCAAACATCTTGCTGCTGTTATTAATTGCCATCGAACCAGCTCTGCCTCATGGCAGCCCCATGAATAAAACATTACTCAGTTCTATGCACCCCACAACTAGTGACACTTTAAATCCAATTTTGTAGCCAGCATGTATTTTCCAAACTAGGGTGCTCATGTTCCAGTACTCTTTGGACAGTATTGTATGTAATTATAAGGTTTTTAATTGGAATTTTCAGAAGTGGGTTGCCAGGTTTTTCTGTATAGTCTATCATAATCTAGAAGTTCTGCTGAAACTTGTCCCCCATGAACACCCCTCCTGAGATTTTCAGCATTTCAGAAATACACAGCCCCTGCAGTGCAGCAGACTGACCGAAAGCAGTGGAAGGCAAGCTCATAAAAGTTTTAACAAATATAGACCAACATATATAGTTTTCTCATTGGGGGCAAATCCCTATTTGCCGTGACAACAAATCAAATTTTAACTTGTTCCTTCTAAGATAGAAATCCTCTCCTACAGCTCCACTGAGTCAATCAGTGAGAAGTAGGAACCAAAAAAGTCATTACTGAACATAGACCTTTAAATGATTTGCTTTTAGGATTTAATGTTTAAAACAACGTCAAAAAGATAATGCAAATCCATTTCTTCCTACCTTTCTATACACATGAGATTTGGTAAAAGTATAGCTGCTGTAAAACCTGATATTAACAATCTTTTAAGTGATATTCACCATTAGTATTACTGACTTATGATTAAGTATGTGTTCTTATGGCTACTATTTCAAATGACTTAAGCTATGCATGGTTAACTGGCCCATGACTCAGAAGCACACCTTAGAATAAAATTATAAGCTTATTTAGGTTATTGAGAATACCTATCATGTTCCGCTAAAGACAAGGCCGAATCAAGAGCTGATGGTACAAAAATTATGTTATTTGCATGTGAAAATAATATTCTTATTGCTGTACTTCATCACTTTATTAACAGTTTATAAAAGGAAATTCTAGACTATATGTTCTCAAATTTATTTGGCCTAGTGCCCCCTTTTTAGGAAAAAATTATTCAGCACCCCCCTGGCCATTAAAAGCATTTGTACTGTAGCCTACAATCCAGGATTAAGTGTAGGTATCTGTTAAAGCCCCTCCTCCACCACCACCACTGTGGGGACGGGGTGGTGGTGGTATGATCTACTTTGGGAAACACTATTTTAAATTGTAAGTTTATCAAGAAACCCTGTGGTTTTCAGGTTATTTACACATGATAACTGTTATCTTTTTGAAAGCTTACTTCTAAGTTAGGATCTTTGAAACATAGGTTTAATCTGCCCAAGATAATGTGCCCCAATTGGGAAAGTAATTTTCCATGTAGTCTTGTAGAATGTCTATGATGATAATATAAGTGCCTATTTAAAATTTGATGACAAATGAAAATGTATTTGAAAGGGACGCCCCCCCCCCCTTCCTTGCTCATTCTAATCTTGAAAATCCTTTCAAATTGCTTGGATAAGCAATTTTCAGCTTATCTAAGATTAAGTTATCTAAGATTATCTTAACCTTAGGTTTCCCTGAAGCCACATGAAGCAGTGCCTATGCTGTTTCCACAGACACAAATTCTAAAGCTAGAAAATAAAAATGGGTTGTTCTGTTTAATTCTCTATCACTGAATACAACTTAGAACATGAGTTCTTCTGCTTTGTGGCCTTTGTCACAAATGTTTCTGTTTTAAAACTTGGTCATTTTTGAATAACACTCTAGCAGTCTTATTCAGTGTCTAACTTTCACATGCACATAAGACAATGAAGAGTACCATGGCTTGGGTTAGGTACACCTTCGTTCTCACAGTAATATCCTTGCTGTAATTTCAATACTTTGATGTCTTGGGCTGCAGATTTACTGAACACAGTGCATCCTTTGATCTCTTTTTTTTCTTTATTTTATTTTTAAATTTTAATCACTTTATTGGGAGCTCTTACAGATATCATAACATTCCATAGTTCAATCCCATCAAGCAGTATTGTACAATTGCTACCACACTCAGTTTCAAAACATTGAACTCCTTGATAACAGCTTCCCTTTATCCACTCCCTCCCCCCAACCCACCCTCCAGGAACGCTTATTATTATTTTCCCTGTAACAATATATTTGCCATATCTTACAGAATCAAATATATCCATTCACATACAATTCTGTTCTTCAATCCCATCGGGTGAGGTTATGTAGTCGTCAAAGCTATCAGCTCCCTATTTCCCCTTCCACCTAGCCCCCTCCTCCCACACCCTCAGGGAACCATTAAACCTTTTCCTTTTTCTAAAGGGCTATCTATTTTGGCTTTCATGTAATGAATGATCTTAAATATACAATGTGCTGCTTTCATGAGCATTGATTGTGGATCCAAGCAAGACAAAATTCTTGACAACTTTAACTTTTTCTCCATTTATCATGTTACCTATTGGTCTAGTTGTGAAGTTTTTGGTCTTCTTTACATAAATTGTAATCCCTTCTGAAGGCCGCAATCCTTCATCTTCATCAGCAAGTGCTTCAAGTCCATCTCACTCTCAGCAAACAAGGTTGTGTCATTTGAATGTTGAACACTGAATGAAGAAGACTGAAGAAGAATTGATGCTGGAGATGAATAGTGAAAGTACCATGCTCTGCTAAAAGGACAAACTCATCTGTCTTGGAAGAAGTAAAGGCAGAGTGCTCCTTAGAGGCAAGGATGGTGAGACTGTCTCACGTATTTGGAGATTTTGTCAGGAGAGACACATCTTTGGAGAAGGACGCCCTGCTTGGTAAAGTGGAGGGACAATGAGAAAGAGGAAGGTCCTCAGCAACGTGGATTGACACCATGGCTTCAAGGATGCACTCAGGCATGAGAACAATCCCAAGAATGGTACAGGATCATATAGTGGCTCATTCTGTTGTGCAAAGGGTCGCTGTGGATCGGAACCAACTTAATGGCACCTAACAACAGCTAGAAACCTGCTCTTCTTCCTTCCCGTCTCTTCCCAAGTGATCTCTCCCTGGTAACTTACCGTGCATGGCTTTGTTAGCAAGGGAAGGATTTTGGTCCAATGCCATAACCGGTCTGGTCTTGGGCATCATTTTCTGCCACTGCTGCATCTGCAGCTGTTATCACTAGTTGATGCAGCCAACGTCTTCCTTTTATGGTCGTAAGCGCTCTTCTTGCCTAATTTGAATTCTCTCTGAATATTGGTCAAATGTTCTCTCTTTGGAGTTGCAGTTCCTTCTACTCTGATTTCTACTATAAACTGAGTCTTCTCTCCGTTCTTTGCAGCTTAGCCCTTTTTTCAAGCTTACTATCATACAGAATGCATGGGAAAGTATAACATGACAGATGCAACGGGATTAAACTTGAACACCCTGTCAGTTGATCTCCCTTTTGACCCATTTTTAAGTTGTTCTAGTTTTTATTAATTTCTTATTTCTTTCCAACTGAAGTTTCCCCCTACTTTCTTTCATTATTGTTGTTGGCTTTTTTTATTCCTTGTTTTGTATTTTTGTATGTTTTTCAGTATATGAAATCAAGGATGTGTGAATCTATAGAAACAGTTCCTGAATTAACGGTTCCTTTGAGGGTAAGTTGTAGGGTAGGTTGGGGGGAGAAGAGGAGCTAACGACATGGAGTGTAAGAAAAAAAAGTTCTAAAATTGACTGTGGTAATTATTGTAGAAGAGTTCATGATGTTGTTGAACGATTGAATTATAGATTTGGATTATGCCCCAATAAAACTGTTTAAAAAATAAAATGAAATAAAAAAGATGGGGGCTACTACTGCAAAAGAAAGGCAGAAATTCAAAGAATTTTACTTCTATATTCTTTAAAAAGTCTACTGTGAAGTTTACAACTGACGAATGACTTCTTAATTCTCTGGGGCATCTGCCCTGACTGGCCTTTTTGTATTAATATCTAAATGATCAGGAAAAGATAAGCAGTGCAAGGAGAGAGAGAGAAGAAGACCTACAGTCAATGTCTCAAAATATTGCCTACAACGCATGGAACCTCTGGGAAAACTGTAGTTGCACAATGTACAGATTGTCCCTATTTATAATGGGGTTCCAGCCTGAAGACTCTGGCATTGGTTGATTCTGGAAAAAGTCAAATACCTTTTTCTTTTTCATTATTATTGCCTTTTATCATCAGTATTTTCATAAATGCAATCTTTACCTGTCTCTCTGAGGATTGGAAGCATTACATAAAAATTTACAGGGATTATGACATCAGCAAATTACGTCCTGCAACATTTTACCTATTACATATAAGATGTAATAATAATAATATCATGTAAAAATACATGATAAACTGAGGGAAAAAAGGTCATAACTCATCTGTATCATAAGGTGGGGACTACCTGTAAAGAAAACGCTATGCATTGTTAAGCCATGTTTTAAAAGTCGTGGAAATCACTAGATAACATATGTTAAAGTAAGCCAAATTGGCCATGTTGAGAAATATGAATGATCTGCGTGGTATCTTTCTCTACAATCAAATAAGTAACCATGCCTATTTTCTAAAACACAGTTACTGCTTCTGTTGTGATCGGGTGTAAGCAAATCAATTCCAACTCAGAGCAACACTATGTACAACAGATCACAACACTGCCTGGCCCTTTGCCACCCTCACAAATGTCATGGCGTTTGAATCCATTGTTGTAGCCACTGTACCAATCCATCACATTAACATCCTAAGCAACTATGCTATTGCCTATTAAGAAATTTATATAAATATATTAGTTCATTTAATTATCCAAATAATGGTATGTCCCATTATCCCTAATTCACAAATGAGAAAACTGAGGCCTAGGTTAAGTAACCATCTTATCACACAGCTACTTAGGAGCAGTGTTGAAATTCAAAGAGTTTGTCCTGTTGGCTACATGGCACTGTAAGAAAATAGCTCCAAGCAAGGGTAAAATTTAGTTATCCTACCAATAGTGATAGTTTTTCTATATGTAATCTAACATACAGAAATCAATAGATTACAATTGAA